AAATCAGTATGGAGCTACCTCAAAGAACTAGGACTGGAAGTACCATTTGACCCCGCTATTCCACTGCTGGGGATCTTCCCCAAAGAATTAAAAGAATCATACCACAGTGATTTATGTGTGCCCATGTTCATAGCACAGTTTGTAATAGCTAAAACTTGGAAACAACCCAAATGCCCATCAACTGGAGACTGGATAAAGAAAATGTTTTTTTATGAAATGGACTACTGCTCAGCCATAAAAAATGAGAAATTAAAGACATTTATAGCTAAGTGGATGCACATTGAGGCAATATTCTTAAGTGAAATAAATAGGACACACATGAATAAATACCAAATAGTTTCTCTGGTGTGAGAAACTGAAAGTGTAAATAAGGACTAAATGTATACCAGGTAATGTGAAATAGGAAGAAATGGGGCAAAGAGGAAGTAAGTGGAGGGCTAGGGGAAAGGATAGAAGGGAGTGGGATTAATATGAAAAAATGGAAAAATAGGAAAAAAATCTTTGTAAATAGGAATGGAGGGGTTGAAGGGAGGGCTGGGCAAGGGTGAAAAATAAGAACCAAGAGAGACTATGTAAAGGTGCAAATTTACAATGATGAATGTCATTATATGGTATACCTAAAATGTACTAATGATTAGAATGAATAATCGATAATGTAAAATAGGAAAAAAAGGTCCAAAAGGGTAGGGGTAGTGGGAAGGTCAGGGGAAAGGAAAGAAGGGAAAGGAAAAATGATGAGAACTGGAAAAAATGGAAATAAAGTCTTTGTAAATAGGGAAGGGTAGAGGGGGTCAAGGGAGGGCTAGGAATGGGGAAAAAAGAAGAACCAAGATGCATTATGTAAAGATACAATTCCAAATGAAAAATGTAATTGTGTTCTATACCTGCAATGTACCAATAGAAGAACTTAATAAAAAAATAAATAAAGAAAATACAACAAATAATAATGGACATGAAAAGTCATATATGCACTAATACAGTTGTAGTGGGGGATGTCAACACCCTACTGTCACAAATACATGGATCAACTAGACAAAAAATAGGTAATGAAATACTAGAACTCAATCGAACTCTTGAACAAATGAACATAACAGATGTTTACAGAGTCTTCCACCCCACAAAATCAGAATACA